CGGAGTAGCCAATGAAATGTTCGAAAAAAATCTTTTGACCAATCAAATTGCAGGTGTGTCCAGTGCATGGCCAAGCTTCTCCATTTCACAAACAGTTCAACCTTTTTCTTCGACGTATGCGACAGGGTTCACAGTAGTACTATACTACTACCTCCGATTGGAAGTGATTGATAGGTTTCACTTTGTTGACCTTGAACAACTGTATCTCAGTCAAAATAGGTTATTGCCTTGACAATGGGCATACTTCTAGGTAGAGAATTTCACTAAAAATCCGATTTTAATGCTTAGAGTCCTAATTAGAATATCTTAGAAGTTATGGTTGCAATCGACCAGGAATGATAAAAGGCGAAAGATTAGTACGAATGAAATTAACTCTGCGGGAATCCGGATAACAAGGGCTGCGTACGAAGACGAGGACCGAACTTCGAAGAAGATCGGTCGAAGCACGAGGTATGAAGCGTTGAGCGAAGTAAAAACCGAAGATTACACACCGCCCCTGGTCGAGCAGGCGCGTTACAATTGGCGAAGCGGTTCCATAGCATGTGGTTCTAGTGTCGGCCCTCGCGAGGAATGTCTTAAAAATGATAATCCAAACTCAATTAATCGACCAGGAATGATATCTGATTTCTCCTGAACCTATCTGATTATAGAGGTTTAGGTGGAGATATGTGGTGTACAGCAAATATGATAATACGTGTATAATATAGTTAGTATTAACTGCACGTATTCAAGTCAATCCATTGATGTCAATATATTAATAAGTTATATATCCTATTCCAGTGATTACTTTGAAGTATAGAACATTAAAGTCGATATTTTTACTTGAATAAAGCATACTGTTGCTCCTATACTTCAACGTTTCGCCCATACTTTTACAACTTCCTCTAAAAATTTGAATCTGTCGCGCGCAGAGCTCATTTGTCGATTGACCTCAGGGAACGCACCTTCGATGGACGCGCGGAGGCCATGGGAACGTCACAGCAACGATGCTGCATGTGTCGTTTCACGACCATTTCTATTGTGCTTTCGAGTGAAATTTCGTGTTGTAGCGTGGTTTCTAGTTGGAATTTAAATCGATTTGATTGGCTACTTCAGATTGGCTCAAAATTATTCGCCAATCAAAACCTTCTCAATGAAATTCAACCAATCAGATCGATTGTGGATCGGTTTGGTCGGCGCGATTCGATTGCACCGCGTCCCCAAATTTGTATCAAATCGACAATATATTGAATTGACTTTTTATTGCGTGATTTCCATTTTCATCGGGCACACGACACAATTCTTCGGGCTCATGGGCAATTGCTTGGGCACACGGCCAATTATATCGGGCACACGACATCCGGGTGCCAAATTAAACCGGCACATGGCCAATTATATCGGGCACACCGCCAAATGTATCGGGCATTCGTCCAACTAAACTGCAAAAAGGTGTAGTAGTACATCGTACTGGTACTGTTAAGTACTGTACTATGGTATACTTAATATAATTCATGGAGATGAAAATACCTCTCGTCCTATTGAAACTCATCTGTACGATTAATAGTACCAGTAGTTGTAGTACTATATACTACTACTAGTATTGACTACTACCGTAGTAGTATCTAGCATCTATTAATAATAGTACATCTCCGTACGTTTATCGACAATACCGACACAATGGCGAGTGTATGTATTTGATTTTGCATTACAAGTCGGCCATGTCATCCGCATTCGCATCCGGTCGTTCATGGGGGTTCACGAGGCCGGGCACGGCCAGCCGCGCGTTCGTTTCACGCGCCAGACGCTCCTGAGTCATCGCCAGACTCTCCTCCAGAAACAGGTCGGCGTTGTCTTCGCCCGCAAACTCTTTGACGTTGACCAAAAAGTCACGCAAATGCTTCTTGAAAGCAGCCAAGTCTTTCGTCATATCAAAACACCCCACCACAAACGCACGGACTTGGGCTCTACAATTCATCACCATGATTATTATTATTAATGAACCAAATCACCACATAAAACAACCAAGATACCAACCAACCACCATATACATGAACCAAGACAAATCACATACATGAACCAAATCACCACATACATGAACCATATCACCACCACATACATGAACCAAGACAAATCACATACATGAACCAAATCACCACCACATACATGAACCAAGACAAATCACATACATGAACCAAATCACCACATAAATGAGCGATAGCACCACATAAAGCAACCAAGAAACCACCACATACACGAAAAACAAATAACTGCCTCACACCAGGATGATATATATATATATATACAAACAGTATCGATATCAAAGCAATCTCTTTCTCAATCGATATATATGTACGACGACGTACGGGGACATGTTTGGAAACGACGTCGAGATCATGTTGGCCACGTATTCCTTGAGGAATTGCTACGTATTATGGTTAGAAACCACTTGGATCGATGATTGTCGTACCGAGTTGGTCTGGCCCACTGGCATCACCGGCGGCATCCCCGGCAGCGACTCCCACAGCGGCACGTTCACCTGGTTCATTTCCACGAGCGAAAACATGTGCTTGAGCAAAGCTGCGTGCATTTTAAACCCAAATTTATGCAGGCGATCCGTCAGCACGACCAAAATGTCCTGCAAAAGCGACAAGTAGAACGACCGGTAAAAGCTCGCGGCCAGCGTCTCGTTCTCGCGCACGTTGAGCAACAGCGCAAACAGCGTTTCAAGTCCCTATACATATATATATATATCAATATACATATATTTATCAATATATATATATATATATATAATAGACAAAACAACAGACGACGGACGATCATCCAACACATATGCAACCCAAGAGTCACGGTATATCGCTCGCTCCCCATACGTTCGAAATCATATATATATATATATATATAGAATCACCACGACCACCATATAAATACATACATCCACTGCAAGCCACAAACAACTGAATACAAAACACTCGCGTCTTGCTCCATACATATTTTCAATCATATATAAATATACATATACATACATATATATACAATCCAACACCACATCATGTCTAATAAATACATACAAATACATCCTCTCTACCCCTATATATACAATATATATATATATATATAGTACCGTGTCGGCAACGTTGCGCTCCGTGTGCTTGAACGCCCACACGATCGAGTCGACGACGAGCTTAAAGTGTTCGGATGGGATATTAAACAGCGCATCGACGCAAAACTCGTTGACGGCTTTGAGCAGTTTGAAAAAGTTAACTCGGTGCTCTGGAAAGTCTTCAAAGTTGCGCGTGATCATCTGCAGCGTGCACTCAAACACGGCTTCGAGCATGCCGGGGGCGGCGGGGGCCACCGCAGCCTTGAGTTTACTGATGCACGTGGCCAGCAGCGTCAGCACCTCTGCCTCCTTGGCGGATGCGACGGTCGTCTTGTAGTCGCTCAAGACAACCTCAAGCAAGAGCGGCAAAAAGTGGCGCGCGATCGTCTGCCGCCCATTGTCGTCGGCGCTAGAGTGCTCGACGAACGCTTCAAACAGGCGGAGGCTTTCCTTCTTGGCGCTGCGGAGACTGCGCACCTCGGCCGACTTGGTCGCGATGTCGCCGCCCTGGGCCACGCGCTGCGCGATCCGCTGCGTATACGTGCGGTACACATTGAGCAGATCCTGAAACAAAGTGCCCATCTGCGCGTTGAACCCGTTGGGCCCGATGGCTTTGCACACGTTGCCATTGGTGCGGATAATCTTGACGATCTCCTTGACCGCTTGCGCATCGAAGAGCACGTCCACGTTGTGCGCGGCTTGCTGCATGAGATTCTGCCACGCCGCGTTCGGGAGCTTCATGAGCTCGGCCACGAGCGTGTCCTTGCGCGCGGGGATGGTCTCGGCCGCCAACATGGACGCCACCGCTTCGTAAAACGTGTGCAGCTGATGGGGTTCCAGGTCGCTCACGGTTTTCGGCAGCTCCATCATGAGCTCTTCCACAAACGGGTACGGCTCGCCCGGCTGCAACACGACAAACTTGCGCCGACACTTTTGCGCGATCTTTAGGAACGTGTCGCACGCCATATCTTGCACGCCCGGGTGTAGTTCGTGCATAAACTCAAACAGCTTGTTCACGACAGTCTTGAGGAACTTCCAGTGCGCGCGCAGAAACCGCGGGTACTGCCCCACCACGTACATGATGTTGGACGCCACCACGGCCTTGTTGTCCTTACCCCGCTTCATCTCGCACAGACCCAGCAGATCTTTGATCACTGTCACCAAGAACCGCTTCTCGTTCTCTTCGCTCATGGCCCCAGAAATCGACCCGATCGCCCAGCACAGCGTGTTTAGGTTGTTCCACGACCTACTCAATCGGGTTCAGAGAGATTTATTTATATATATATATCATGCTAGGAATACTAGTAGTAGGGAGAGATTTATATATATCATGTTAGGAATAGGTTATTCCACGACCGAATCAATCGTGTGCGGGTTGAGATATATATATATATCATGTTCGGAATACTAGTAGTAGTGAGAGATTTATATATATATATATATCATGTTAGGAATACTAGTAGTAGAAATACATGACAGGGTGAACCATCCTCTTGACCATCTCAACATAAAACCAATATAAAACCAACATAAAACCAATATAAAACCAATATAAAACCAACATAAAACCAACATAAAACCAAGATAAAACCAACATAAAACCAACGACTATCCAGAACAAGATGGAACGTACCACCCGTTGCCTTCGACTTGGTCTGTGAGTTTCTCGAGCATGATGTTCTCCGTGTCGTCGTAGTCCAAGTGCGTGAGGTACACCAGTCCTTCGTGCATGGTCTTATACTGACTCAGAGCCTCCGTGTCCTTGGTCGTTTCGCGAACGATCTCGCCATTCTCGTCCTCAACAATCAGCACCTCGGACGGTTTGACCATCTTGGAGATCATCACCACCCGAAGCCGCGATAGAATCACCTTCAACAGACTCTTGCGGGTCAACGGATCCGGTTCCGCCCCTATAATGTTCATTAATATATATATAGATATACGAGAGCTGCTTCAATCGACACGATATACCAAAATATATATATCTAGTGTTGTATAGGAACAGGTAAACACGCGACACAACTGGACTTTATATTATATAAAGTAGTCCATAAACGACACATGTCGAATAATATTTCAAAATAATATAAAAAATATACAAAGCCAAACATTCTACAACCACACAACAACTATCCATTCCCATCCAAGATATATATTCCAATCCCCAACATATACACATCTCTCTCTTGAATACTCGTAGATATATTCCAACCCCAAATATATATATATATATATATATATATCGAATTCGTACCTCGACGTGTCAACGCAAGTACGTTCATCCCGTGCGACTGGGCTTGGGTTTGGTCGATCGAGTACAGGTCCCGCGTGAGAAGGTGCCAGTAATCCAAGCAGATCTTGAAAATGTTGTCGTCGTCCACTTCGCTGATGCTCACGAGGTACTGGAACCCAGTCAACAAGGCAATATGGGCTTCGTCACTTGGGCGGGTGATGGGCTGCTCGATCACGCGGATGTGGTGCCGGAAGAAATTCGTGAAAAACAGCGACAGACCTAATAGGTACGTGGAAATAATATTTATATTTACTTATATATATATATTCTTTTTACCTTGAACAAACACGCTGTCGAGGTGGTGGATGCGCTCCATCGAGTGGCCCGGGGGAACAATGCGAGACAATTCGTGCAAAATCGCCAAGTACATTTGCACATACACATTGTCGTACGTCTAATAGATATATATATTAGCATATATATATATTTATAGTTTGTAGACACAGATATACAACAGATATATATATGCACCAAGAAAGTAACCAACAACCAACCCACTCTACAAACCACACGATAACCGGTAGATATGTTCCTAGCGTATTGCAAATATATATATATATATATATTATTGAACACCTGGCAATATCATGCGATATAGACATATTTTATATAAATACACTTGAACCTTCACAAATATATGTATCATCCTCAACAAATAACCCATCCATCTCACTTTTACTATATATATATATATATATTATCCTCAACAAATAATCAACCCATTTCACTTCTACTATATATCACATCCTCAACAAATAATCCATCCATCATCCATGAAATCAAACCACATATCATCTATATATACATATATATAACTATAAATCACATCGTGAACAAACAATCATCAACCATGAAATCAAACCACGTCTAGTCTAGTCTATATATATATATATATATATATTACCTGGGGGACGTCCGTGAGCTGGGCGATTTCGCTGAGGCAGGCAATGGTATCATTTCGAAAGGCTTGCGTGGCAAAGAACTTTTTGACGAGGGTCTCGACGAGGTTGGTCTCGAAGATGAACCCAAGCGGGATCCACGAGAGGAAGCGCAGGAGGGTTTGAAGAGTGATGGTCAGCAGTGGAATGTGCGTCGATTTGTCCAGGACGAACTCGCAGAGGCGGAAGATCTGCACGAACTCGTGGTTGAGCGACTCCTTGAGCGCCTTGGTCTTCTTTTCAGTCATTTGGTCCTTGGAGAAGTCAAAGATCTCTTCGCTCAGCAGCTTGAGGATGAGCATGTTGTTTTCGCACAGCACTTCGGATTTCTAGACAAAGGATCGATCGATCGATCGAGTGAGCGAGGCATGATGGATGTGTGGGGGATGATGGGATGATGGATGTACCTGGCTCGACGTGCAAATGTCCGTGATGAAGCTAGGCCAGTTCTTGGGCCATTCGTGCTTCAACACCTACGTACATGCACGAGCGTATTTGAGTCATGTATGGACGTGGGGTTGTTGAGATGGGATAGACGGACGGACGGACCTGGACAAGCACGAGGTTGAGCTTGCTGATGAAGAGACGCTCCTTTCGCATGGTCGACTCGTCCGCTGCCAACTACACGCACGTGGAAGCGTGAGACAATGCATGGCCGACGGAGAATGGAGATCAGGCATGGGACGAACGATGACTTGGTGACGATCATCAGGATAGACGTACGTTCAAGATTTTGCCTACAATGTACTGCTTGATCCCTTCGCGTTGCTCCTTGGGCATGATAAACCACTTGTATTTGATCGCGTCTTCCAAAATCTACATGCAACGGACAAACATCATGTTGTGTGTCAGTCCGACTATCGCCGCCGCCAAAGGACGATGCTCCAAGGACACATGTCGCATGCCCACGCAGACATTGAGAAGGGAGGACGGACGGTACCTGCAACCCAAAGTACTTTGTCGGTTGGTACGTGGATGTTTCGAGAATTTGCGACACCCGTGTCCACGAGTCCTGGTGGGCCTGGAAGGCGACCATGATCTCGTTAGCCATCGCATGATGGGGATTATTGGGGTTCTGCATGCACGCCACGACTTCGTCCAGCATCGCGACGTCCAGCGGGACGTTCATGTCCAGAAGCTTGGCGCCGACTTGCTCCATGTTCGTTCCCTTGCGTCGCAGCCTGCAGCCAAAATTCAAAAGTGTGGCCACTCATAATCGCAATTTATTATTATTAATCGCGTCGAAATTCAAACTATTACCTCAGGTTTTGTATGCCCGTGCGAATTTGGGTTTTATTTTCACGGAATACTGTCATATTCGATATGTCCACCCAATTCTTTTGAATTACTCGCCCGTTCCACCCCGATCCCCCCTTGGTACCGAGTATTTTAATTCCCCACTGTTCAGCAGCCCATGTAGACGTATCGAATTCCAGAGGTTATTAGTACAGACAAGGCTCCTCGAATCTAATCGCAAGGTGCTTGGTGATTCCAGAATTTCGAAGTGTCAGAGCGCTGGACTGCTACTGTATACACAGGCATCGACGTACTAGCGACGTACATACTAGCTACATGAGATGCGATGACGACGACACCACAGGACGTCAACCACGATATGCAACCGTGCTTTGGAGGTGTCACGCCGTCAATCGACTTCTGCTCCGACGCGCCGCCTTTCACGTGCGTTTGAAGCGCTCATCGACGTGCCATGGAACGACTGTAGTACAGTTGTCCACGCATCATGCCTTTGAAATGGGCACCTTTGACGCAGTATCTCCTCTAATAAGCTTATGTGTCTCCCAACCAGTGTAATCGCTCAAAATAGTCCACTAACCGGTATCAAATATATCGACTTATCAGTTTAAAAAAATATAAAATATCCAGTTCGTTTGCCCGAGTGGTCTAAGGGGTCACGTTCAGGTCGTGATGTATTCGTACGCGTGGGTTCAAATCCCACAGCGGACATTCATTTTCATTTTTTTACTTTTGTTCAAAGATAGAAGTAGTACTGTACTATTAATAGTACTATGATTTTCAATACTATCTTCTACTTCAAGTACATACTATTAAGAGTAGTTTCCAAAATGGACATGATCCAATCAAAACACTCCCCAACTCATTCCAAAATCCCTTTTCAAAATGGGGTGCATGACCCCATTTCATCCCACAACCCATCGCCGCGCCAAACTACTGGCTGAAATTACCGCCTCACCAGCCAATTATTGATTTACGCTCTCTCTGATGTTGAATATGGAGGGCCGACATGAACACAGATAACCACAGTGCGGGAGCGCAGTCACCACCTCATACGTGTAGACGACTGGCGAAGCTGAACAAGTAGTGACTAGAGCGCAACGACGGGCCTCGGCTTGGACCTTGGCCACGGGAGCCAGTGCAAGCCCTTGAAGTTATTTTGTCACCCCAACATTTGTAGCATGTAGTACTTACTCCCTAGAATACTTGGCACAGTCCTTCTATCAGCGATATATGGTGGATACTGTAAGTCGAAGTACTCTATAGAAAAAGGACATGAACTTACCAGCCCAACTGCAACCAACCGAGGCAATCCAAGCGACACTATATTGTCAAGTCTGATGATTCGAAATTGGAGTGTGCAGAATCACCAAATCGACAGACAATCAAAAATCAACCAATCAAAACCCACAACACGAATCAAGTGGCCAATCATGGACCATTTCAACATTGAATTAGTGTGTGAATGAAATTAGTGTGACATCAGTCGACTTTTCCAAACGTCCGTACAAAGAATCGATCAGCACAAAAAGTCCAAATTTTGGGTAAAAGAAACCCAATGTGAAAAGCCTATTCAACGACAACGTCGAATTGCAGCGTCCAGTGGGCGTCAACTGCCATCGAAACACGCACCAGGTTTTGCCATGTACGTTAGGTATTCGGGCCTTGTCAATCATATATATATATATTTATATATATATACATTTATATTATATTTATATATACTGGTATACATTTATCTATATATATATATATATATATATATTATATGCATTTATATATATATATATTGCTCACGCCGGGATTGGTCGTCTTGTTTTTAAATCATATTATCATCGTTAAAGTTTGGTGAATTGTACCCATGAACGTTTAGTCCTGCATATGTAACGTTCATGGTATACCAATCACCAACCTTATACTTGTTCAAAGTACACTAATACTATGATTTATTAAAAAGACGACCAATCAAGACGTGAGCAATATATATATATGTAGATTGATTTTTCCCACGTATGCGTAGATATTATACATTTTCGTGTGTGCATTACGTTTCTGCTTGTTTCAACTTGCGCATGAGCTGTGTCTCCATGAACGGCTCCAAGTGCACCGTGGCTTTATACTTGTGTCCGACGAGCTCGACGTCCACTTGGTGGCCTTCCACGGCCAACTTGGGCGGGACGTACGCCAATGCGATGCTTTTGTGCACAGTATGGCCGTACCCGCCAGACGTGGTGTAGCCCACGACACTTCCATTGTACCACACTGCTTCGTTGCCCCATGCGTCCAGTGGTTCTAACAAGGACACTCGTCCGTTTATTTATACATGTATAAAGTGTCGAAAATGGGGAGTTTATCTTTTATATATCGATCGATTCGTTGTACTGACGTTTGCATATATATACATATATAGGGTACCGTGGCCTGGAGCTGGGATGTCCGTGTGCACGTGGAGATGCACCAATGTTTTCAAGCTTCCTCGTTGCGATTCCTAGCCCATAATAAGAGTCAGCATGAGTGGTTTCATGTTGAATTTATATATATATATATATATATATATATATACTCCGAGTGATTTATATATATATATAGAAATCACTCGGAGTAATATTTTGTTTGAAGTATACGAAGGAAAGTGTAGTGGACCTGTTGCAGTGCGCGTTGGCCGACGAACGGGGTTGCTTTGTCCAGTTTTAAAAATCGATGCAATCCAGCTTCAAGGGGCGTCGTGTCCTTGTTCATGTCACTGCCCCACACACGAAACCCCTTCTCCAAACTATACACGGCCACGTTTATACATGTATAAACGTACGAATTGGGTGTTTTGTTACCGCATCGAGTGGACAGCAAACGAACCGACGTTTTGAATCCCATGCGCTTGTCCAGCGTGCCATACTGCGTCGTACACGACTCGAATGTGCTGGAGCGGAACATGCAGTTCATATCTACAATAATAAGTCTCTAATCCACTATATGGTATATATATATATATATCTACAATAATAAGTCTCTAATCCACTATATGGTATATATATATCTAAAATAATAAGTCTAATCCACTACAATAAGTTTTGAGAAATGTCAAAAATTCACGTGCGTCTATAGTTTACATCAGGACTGTATATGGTATATATACAGTATATATATATATATAT